TGATCGATGGTAGTTCAGGCGCTACCTGCTCACAGACTGCAGACAAAATGCAGATCTGGCGGAAACAGTTTGACTGTCTCTTGAACAACCGTTCAGAGATCGGCTGGCTTACCTTGAACGCCCTCAAGCAGCACGATGTGAAAGCGAGTCTGGGGGACACGCGGACACTGGATGAGACGCAAAGAGCACTTGCTCAGCTGCCATACGGCCATGGTGCCGGTGCCGACGGGATCCCGCCTGCATTATGGAAACACGGCGGACCCACATTGGTGATTGCGCTGCACCAATGGGTGCAACGCGCATGGATTGAGAAGGAGGTGCCTGCTGAGCTGAAGGGTGCCCTTGTGCTACCACTGTACAAGGGCAAACGGAGCAAACAATGTTGCACGAATTATCATGGCATCAACTTGCTGTGTTGTGTGGGCAAGGTGATTGCCCGAATCCTGCTCAACCGCCTCGTCAGTCAGGTTGTGAAACCGAACGTGGCGGAAGAGCAATGTGGACCCCGTTCGGGTCGCAGCACTATAGAGATGGTTTTTGCGGCTCGTCAGTTGCAGGAGAAGTGCAGAGAACGACACTAGCCATTGTACTCGATTTTCGTTGATTTCACCAAGGCATTTGATACGGTGAACCGCGAGGCATTGTGGCTGGTGTTGGGTAAGTTTGCTTGCCTGCGTAAGTTTGTAAGTTTACTTGAATTTCTGCACAGTGGTATGCGGGCAAGGGTGCAGCTGAGTGGAGAGACCTCGGATGACTTTGCAGTTGTCTCTGGTGTGACGAAAGGCTGTCTTAGCTACTCCCCTGTTTAGTATATATCTTCATGCAATGTTGTCTTGTGCTTTTGATGCTGCTTGTGCTTACGGTGTTCGTGTGGAGCACCGTATTGATGGTGGACTGCTGAACATCCGTCTGTGAGACAACTATCCGTTGTTGCTGTTTGCTGACGACTGTGCGTTGTTTGCGCACAGCGCGGATGAGTGGCAGCACATGACTAGTGCTCTGGCTTCGACAGCGGCCAAATTCGGGCTCACCATCAACACTAGCAAAACTGTCTGCCTCTTTCAGCCTTCACTGGAGGTGCAATCTTCAATATTGCCGCGAATCAGCATTGGTGCTGAAGTATTGGAAACCATCTCCCGCTTCTGCCTACTTGGGAGTGTGATGTCGATTGATCAGCAGATACATAGTGAGCCTCGTGTCCGCGTGTCAAAGGCAGTCGCGGCATTCGGGAAGCTTGAGTATCGAGTGTGGAACAACCATCAGCTTACCATCGGCACGAAGCTGATAGTGTACAAATCCATGGTGCTGTCCGTTCTTCTATACGGCAGTGAAAAGCGGACGATGTACCGTCGGGATGTGCGATATCTCGAGCGGTTCCATCAGCAGTGTCTGCGACGGATTTTGCGCATTGGTTGGGGCGACAGAGTTGCGGACATGGAAGTGTTGCACCGTAGTGGAATGTATGCAGTGGAATGCATACTTTTGCTGAGATAACTGGGGTGGCTCGATCATGTGAGCCGTATGGATTCGGCGCGAATAGCGAAACAGACCTTATATGGTTAGCTGAGTACTGGGAAGCGGCACGTGGGGAAACCAAAGTTACGTTACCAGGACATGATTAAAATGAGCCTCTCAAGTTCTAATCTTGATCGCAGATCATGGGAATCGAAAGCAGTCGATCGGCGTGCATGGCGCGATCTAATCACGAAGGCAGTTGCCGAGGTGCGGGAGAGTGACCTCATGCATGCAGAGAAGAAGCGGCAAGCAACGATGGGTTGTACTCCATCGACATCGAGTACATGGTGCTGTATCACATGCGGTCGCGAGTGTCTGAGTCAGGCAGGCTTAGTGAGTCATGAGCGAGGCCACTCGGGACCACCACCGAAGCGACGACCGGTCCTGCAGAGAACGTTGGCAGAACCGGCTCAGCGTTTGTAGGTACGCTGCATTCGATTTACTAATCGCGTGCTTACATGCTAAGTATCTTTATTTCAGGTAGTGGGTTTTCAATTTTGTCCTAATGCTTTTCTTTCTCATATAAATGTCTGTCTGTACTCTCTTCTATAAACTTGCATACCTCGCTTAAGCCAATTGTAGTTAATTTCGATAACATTTTGGTGTTTGTGGCATTTCCGTAAAATGTACTTTCCGACCTAGTGAACTTATCTCGTATTCCCTTGTAAACAACTTATTTCATATGCTCATTAATTTACGATATTTGTCACGTTTCCTTATGCATTACTCAATTTATTTTCTTCGTCATCTTTCTCTCAAGTGACCGGCTGTTACTTGATATCCCCGGTGTGGCTGCGCTTGATGTGCTTGTTGACAAGGTGCCTACCTGTCTATTACCCACTACCTCGTCCATACTGGCTCTAGGAGACAACTGGTCGTTGCTGGAGGGGACAGGGTGCACGGTCCTTGTGGCCGTGTTAGGATCAAACAGCGGTTCCATGCACTCAGTGTGGAGCGAACTACGGTCCAGCCACCGCCTTGTGTGCGCTTGGTACTCCAAATACAGCGTGCTTGTGTTTGCCTGTGAAGGAGTGTGGGCCGGCTCCGTTGATGAAACGCGGCTCCCATCCACCTGTCTCCCGGTCTTATTCCTTCGGGTTTACACTGGATATGGGGTGTGTGGTTGGAGTTGTGGGTGGTGCAACACAAGCCACCCATGGTCCCTCTGTAGGCGCAGGCGTCCTGTGGCTGTCCACAGTGACAGGCAAATCCGAAACCGGATGCCGCCAACCATATACTCACCGCATGAGTGCGTGTAAAAACATGAAGGAGAATTAGTTTCTCGATGACTTTCAACGTCACTAAAGTACATTCAAGCGGATGAAAAATATTGGATTCCTTCTTGGGCACATGCTTAGGGGTCTCCAAATGTCAGGGCAAGTGCTACTCATAAGACATCGGTTGAACAGAGCGTTATAAAGGGTACTACCAGATAACACGCACAATCCCTAAGAACGGATACTGACAAAGCATTAAATTTAATAGACTTATTTATCTCCAATTGTTTGAGTCCTCTGTAAACATTGAGGCGATCAAGGGCAACCACGGAACCTGTGTTGATGAAGGAAGGCAGAGAACATACAAGATAACAAAACTTAAAATTGAGTTTGTCCACATCTTTTGAAATTCTCAAAATGCCGCGGTGATCATGAGTAACTAACACCGATTCAAGGTAGAGACGGTTCAATCGCATTATCTCCGATTTCAATTGCCAAACAGGGCCGTATAACTTGGGCAAACATATTGCATCTATAGGCCCATTCTTTCTCCTAAGTTGCTCCAGTAGCGATGAGGATAATCTGTTCATGCGCAAGTAGAGGACTTCGAAAGGGCAGCATAAACCATGGCAGAGGCTGATAGATCCAGTAAGGTGTTCGCACTCCAAAGTTTTTGTCAGTGAAAACTGTCAAGTCAGTTGAAGAAAGCGTCAGTTGGAAAGATATGCTGACGGTTTTAAAGGGGTTTCTTGTCAGACACAAATTTCGTCGTATTGTAAATGACTGACCATAGCTACAGAACTCGGTGATCTGAGTTTCCGAGAAGAGCCCACTTTAAAGAAAAAACAATTGAACTTTTCTGGTGAAAACGAACAGACAAAATCGTACATTTTAGCACAAATGCCTTGACAAATGTTAACAGCAACATCACAGAGAGAGCACTTGATTTGAGGTAGTAACACTAGGAGAAAAATGATGCGCAAAATTCTTAAGCTCAGACGGCAGTAAGTCAGGATCTATAGGGACCTTTCCAATGAGGGCGAGAAGAAATCCACTCAGAAATCTCGGTTCACAATAAGGTTATCAAATAATACCACAACTGATTGACATAGGTGATGAAACCTCCGCGATTCGGCGACTTTCCAGAGCGGGCGAACCATACGACGCGGTGTCCAGTGATTTAAGTAACGTCATCATCCACATCAGGATGTAACTAACCTTCCCTGTAGCATCAAAAAGGCTACGCTTGTACGTCCCTTAGGTTGCACAGTGACACTGAGAGCTAACATTGCTGGAGATAATTAGCAGAACTGGTACTCTATGTAAAAGAGACCGTATGAGGCCAACCTGCTGACTAGTAGTGTGCTTTCTCGTTTTACTACTTCTGGCTACGTCGATACAAAATCTATGAAAAAACTGCGGTGAGGCTTCTGAAATGTCTGCTGCCAAGTCACAATAGTTGCTGGGTGCTGATTGGCTAATCCTTATCCAGACGACAATCACACATTCGTTTAAGGGACAGGCGGATGCCTTGTGTCAGTCGAACCGCGTTCCTGAGTTGGCCCTGAGGTCAGATTCGTGTGTCACTTCGCTGCATGCGCAGGTCAAGGCCACAGATCGGATGATGGGTAGGCAGAGGTACATGAGCTATCGATCGCGCACAGGTGGTGAGATTTGGGCGACACCGGTAGACAGCTTCCTATGAGAGCGATCCTTTGCCGGAGAGGGCAGCGGAGGCACCTCCGGGGATATCAATCAAGAGCAAACAGCTGAAATGCAGGAAACAGAACATGCATGCGCACGCACAGCCCAACTGTAGGAATAGTGTAGTACACATACCACATCTACGGCATTATTAGCCTGGGTTAGTAAATGGAATTCAAACGGAATCAGCGTAGTTACCAACCGCTGTGTTGGTAATGAGGAGCGATCCAACTGAGTAGCCGCATTACGATGTTGGACCTGCGCGGCGACACTGGTGGTTCATCAAGCTAGCTTAGCTAAGGCATTGACGACCGCATGTGTTACAGCACAATGCGCTCGATGTCGATGGGCTATCCAGCATCGATGCCTGTCGCTTCCTCAACCGAGGTTTCTTTCCCGCAAGCAGTAGTGATTTCTTTTGCACCTGCGCAACCGCCCTCTTGATATGCTCCCGTCTTTGCTTCACAACACCTGAAACTGACATTAGTTCTTGATAAAGTCACCCAGATTATGCCCTGGTAACGTAACTTCGGTTTTCCCATGCACTGCTTCCCTGCACACAGTTGGTCATTAGGCAGCTGTTTCGGTATCCGGGTCGAATAAATGCGACGAACATGCCCGAGCCACCTCAGGTACCTAAGCAGAAGTATGCAGTCCCCTGTATACATGCCACTGCGACGCAGCAATTCCATGTCTGCACCTCTGCCTCATTAACCGATGTGCAGGATCGATGGGAGACAATGTCGATGAAACCGCTCCAGATACTTGAAATCCTTCCAATACATTGTCCAGGTTTCGCTGGCGTACAGAAGAAAGGACAGCACCATAGATCTGTACAACATCAGCTAAGCCCCGACAGTAACTGGCCCACATACGTGTCTCCGGCTGGTCAAATGCGGCAGACGCTTTCGATAAGCGCATGCGCAGCTCGCTCGTCATCCGGAGATCGGTTGATATTACGCACTCAAGGTAGCAAAATCTCGAAGTGGATTCCTAAACGTCGTTGCTAATGTGGATTTTAAACAAACTGACGGATTGTGAACAATGAAATGGGAATATTTGGTTCGCAGAAGCTAAGCGCACACCGCAATTAACTCAGGATTCTACTTCTCGAGAAGGCTGAAAAAGACAGTCTAGCATATAGAGTATTGGTGGTTTTGTGAGTATGTAATTTTTTGTAGAAAGTAGAAGCCACGATGAAACTTTGCACAATAATCTGTCTCGACGGGGAATCGAACACCGGACATACGGATTACCGGTCCGCCGCTCGTGTTTATTGGCAATACGTCGCGAACCAAGCAGAAGTCATGTATTAAATTGCGCACCTGATCGTCAGTCCTCGGTAGCTCAGTTGGTAGAGCAGCGGACCGGTAATCCGTATGTCCGGGGTTCGATTCCCTGTCGAGGCAGATTATTGTGCAAAGTTTAATCATGGCTTCTACTTTCTACAAAAGTCCAGCATGTGTTGATGGTGGTCGCAAATTTGGCCGCTGTCGAAGCCAGAGCACTAATCATGTGCTGCAACTCATCCGCGCAGTGCGCAAACAACGCACAGTCGTCAGCGAACAACATACGGATAGTTAACTCACACGCTAGGGTTCTCAAACCGAAACGACGGATGTTCAGCAGTCCACTATCAATACGGTGCTACACACACAAACACCGTAAGCACAAACAGCAACAAACGTACACGAAATCACGGCATGAAGATAAATATTAAACAGGGCAGGAGCTAAGACAGAGCCTTACTTCACACCAGAGACAACTGCAAAGTCATCCGAGGTCTGTCTACTCAACTGTACCCTCGCCTGCATACCAGTGTGCAGACACTCAGTTAAAATGACAACTTACTCGCACAACCAAACTAACTCAACACCAGCCACAATGGATCCCAGTTCACCGCATCAAATGCTTTGGTGAAATCAACAGACAAAAGCTGGCGTCGCTCGCTGCACTTAGGCAACTGACGAGCCGCAAACACCGTATATATAGTGCTACGACCAGAACGAAATCCACGTTGCTCTTCCGTCACGTTCGGTTCCACAACCTGACAAGCGAGGCGGTTGAGCAGGATTCGGACAATCAGGTTGCAGACGCAACTCAGCAAGTTGTTACCACGATAATTCGGAGCACATTGCTTGCTTCCTTTGCCCTTGTACAGTGGTAGCACAAGGGCATCCTTCAGCGAAGGAGGCACCTCCTTCACAATCCACACGCGTTGCACCAACTGGCGCAGCGCATTCACCAACGCGTGTCAGCCGTGTTCCAATACTTCAGGCGGGATGCAGTCGGCGGCGGCGCACTTGCTATTTCGCAGATGAGCAAGTGCTCCCTGCGTCTCATTCAGTATCAGTGTGTCGGCGGAAGACATCTTCATCTCTTGTTGTTGCAACCCGTACCAATCAATCAATGAATGGTTGTAGAAGAGATAGTCGAAGCGCTTTCGCAGCTTGTGTGCAGGCAGCACCTATATATATACAGTCGATTTCGGTTAATAGGACCAGCCGCTTATTCGGGCCAAATTCTGAAGAACGGAAACGAATCCTATTACGCTAGCCTAATTTTAGCCGCTTATTAGGACCGGAATTCCGCTTAATCGGACCAGACGATAGAAGGTGGCAGGTAACAGAGGTGTTAGAATCAAGTTCTGTGCCTGGATGTCTGGACTAAACCCACAGTTCATATGTCGGGCAAGAAAGCGTACCATTTAGTTACGGTAATCCGAGTTGGTCTTTGGATAAACTGAACTGTGACAATCTTGAGCCACATCTATCTAATTGGATTCAGAACAGCCCGAAACTGACTGTAGTTTCCAACACTTGTAGGCGGAGCGAAGACATACATGCTTGTTCACATCTCGTTAACCGCTCGATCGATGTACCGCACGTCCATTGAGCCGAATGCCCTGAGCCCGCATTGCGGGCCTACTCTCGAGCACGGCAAGTGATCGCGGACACACAGGTCCGGCAAATCATAGGACAGCAGGTGGCTAGGTCAACCACAGAAATACCCGGGAGACAGACTCGAGTTCACCTCAGTGAACTGTGCGTGTCTTGTTGCATGTTAAGAAAATGCCACGATGGGACTTGACGTTAGCTGAGAAGATTCGTTTCCTAGATCAGATCAAGGAACAGGGACCAACCACTAGTCAGCGTCGATTGGTGGAAATTACCTGCTTGGCAAAATCTACAATACCGCGCCTGATAAAACAAGAGAAAGATCTGCGAGAAAAATGGGCACAATGTGAAGGACAACGAGATACTTCCCAAAAACGGAAGCGTGAAGGCAAGGATCCAGACGTCGATGAGGCCCTTAATGATTGGTTTGCCTTCGTTACTGGACGAGCCGTGCGAGTAAGTGGCCCAATGTTAAAGTACAAAGCAGAAGAACTCGCTAAAATGCTGGGCCACGAAGATTTTATAGCTACGGACGGCTGGTTGTCTCGATGGAAATCTAGACATGATGTAAAATTCAAGAAAGCACATGGTGAGAAAGAAAGTGCCAATAGCGCTCGAGCTGAAGAATGGAAATCAACAAAACTACCAGAGCTTCGTGAAAAATTTCCAGCAGCTGACATCTATAATGCTGATGAAACCGGGTTGTACTATTGGGCTACACCAGACGGCTCCTTAAGTTACAAACATGTCACTCTCTCTGGCTGCAAAAAAGCAATGGATCGCGTAACTGCCTTGTGCTGCTCAAACATGTCCGGAACAGACAAGAGGAAGTTGCTGTTTATAGGAAAATGTGCCAAGCCTCGCTGCTTTAAGGGATTCAGAATGGACAGTTTACCAGTTGTGTATCGTGCGAACAGAAATGCATGGATGAGCTCTACGTTTTTTAAAGAATGGGTGAAGGATTGGGACACAGAGCTACAACGCCAGTCGAGAAAAGCGTTATTACTTCTCAACAATTGTGCAGCACATCCCAATTTGGATTTCTTGAAGAATATCCAGATGGAATTTCTGCCTCCCAAGACCACATATTTGTTACAGCCAATAGACATAGGCATCATAAAAAATTTGAGGACCTTTTATCGTTCAAGGTTGGTGAATTACATCCTTGAATCAATTGAGGAAGGCTTGCTGACCTCATCCTCGACGGCTGAAGAAATCAATGCAAAGGTCAACATTTTGCAAGCCGTTACATTCGTGGCCGAAAGTTGGCGAAAAATGAGCAGTGCGAAAATTCGGAACTGTTTTTCTCACTGCGGCTTTAAGCATATTGTCTCGGAGATGGATGTGGATATGGTGATTGTAAATGAAAATGACGGCGAGAATGTGGAGCTGAAACAAGTTGAAAATTACGAAGAATTTTTGTCAATAGACAACGAACTTCAACTCTATGATGGAAATGAAGAATGCGATGCTTCCATTGTTGCTCGAATAGCAACGAAACACACGACAGCAACAGAAGACCATGGAAGTGATGAAGAGAACCCTAACGTGTTGATGCCAGTCACAAAACAGGATGCAAGGAAATGCATTGAAACATTGCACCGCTATTTCATGCAGGAAGGAAATGAAGGTAGTCCTATTAATGCGTTACATGTTTGTGGTGATTTTGTGCGAATGCAGTCTGTTAAAAGAATGCGTCAAACCACACTGGATATGGTCTTCAAACGCTGAATGGAATTCGGTAATCCCTTTGTATAAAACTGTACTTCGCATGCTGAATATCTTGTAGGTCGTTACGAAGAATTTGTTTGTAAATTTCTTTTACAGTGAACAAAGTTCGTTATTAAAGCAGTTCTTTTTTGTGTGTTTGCTATAAATATATGCCGCCAATACAGGTCACAATAGTAGTTTCCTATGTTATGTATAGCACGTCCCATCTTGTTACATCGGGTAACTTCGGTTAATCGGACCAGCCGCTTAATAGGACCAAAATGGTCTGGTCCCGATGTGGTCCGATTAACCGGAATCGACTGTATATATATATATATATATATATATATATATATATATATATATATATATATATATATTTCAGGTGTTGCGAATCCAAGGCAAATTTGATCGATGCGAATTCCGTGAACTACTCAAAAGGGCGGTTTCTTAGGTGCCGGAGAAGACACTATAGTATGTGGAATAGAAGCACCATGAGTATGTTCCCATTCAATTTACTAACCCAGGCCAATAAGGCGGCGTATGTGGTACGTTTGCCTGCGTGATGAGTAATCTTGCATTTCAGAAGTAGATGTTGCTTGAGCACCCCTGTGTGGATGCGCCTGATGTGAACGTTGACAAGGTGCCTACCTGTCTATTACCCACTACCTCGTCCATACTGGCTCCAGGAGACAGTTGGTCGTCGCTGGAGGGGACGGAGTGCACCGTCCTCGTGATGGTGCTAGGCTCAAAGAGTGGTTCCATGCAATCTGTGTGGAACGGGCTACGGTCCAGCCACCGCCTCGTGTACGTCTGGTGTGTATGGTTTCCCAATTAGGCCGGAATGCTTCCGATCTGCTTGTTGAAGGAGTGTGAGCCGGCTCCGTTGATGAAACGTGGCTCCCATCCGCATGCCTCCCGGTCTTATTCCTTCGGGTTTACACTGGATATGGGGTGTGTGGGTGGAACTATGGGTGGTGCAGCGCAAGCCACCCATGGTCCCCTTTGTAGGCGCAGGCGTCCTGTGACTGTCCCCATGGACGTCACAGTGACAGGCAAATCCGGATACGGACGCCGCCAAATCATCATATATATATATATATATATATATATATATATATATCCGTGTCAGAGTGCCACAAGTATGTAATAATATAATGCTATGGTTATGAAATAATATAGAGGGTGAAAAATAATGTAAAAATGCGGTTATGGGGGTAGAGTCTCACATGTCCGCCATTGCTTACGGTTTATTGACACGGTCTGGATCGAAAACTGTTGGGACAGAACCTGTGGTATAACTCTGTAATCGGGGTTCTAAAGGGCAGAATAATACACAAAACGCACGACTAGGTTTGAAACGTGCAATCAGTGCGTGGAAACAAATAACCGCGACAGTAATGTTAATCGTAGACTGTTGAAAACGTGACCTTGAGGAAAGTCCATGCAATTGTAGTGAATGGATAACGATACTCGTTTGCGGATTTAGCGGTCTAAAGCGTGAAAAGTGTGTCATTAGTTCGGAAGGTGGAGAAAGATGCGAATAGGAGCGCTAAGCAATCGAGAAGACATAATGCATCTGGGGCAGGAAATCAAAGTTCTTTTGAACTTGACAATCATGATGGCACCAGAGAGTAGTAGTTAGAGGTCCCATTCAAGACCACGTTCCAAGGAGAATTTCGCATGCGTAACCACGTGTCGATGCTAAGGCATTGAGTTCACTCTGTAAATGACACGAATGGGATGTTAAGATAGGTTAGGGACGAGGTGGGTAGCCTTTAAATGCCTGCAAGTCCCACTACCTTGCAGGTAGCTCGAATAGCTGGGATGACAATGAGAACCCAATTGAGTTCACCAGTGTAGAAGTGAGTCTGTTGTGTTCGATTAGTATGAAAGATGAAAGCGGAGAAAGATGTAACCAGCTGTTACACATATCAATACACAAAGTAGCTCGAGGGTAGACAGCGGCACAGACAGCAGTCTGTTATTGCAATACTATCTCTTAGTCGCAGATGCTCATGAACAGCGGCATCAGAGATATCGTTCGGAAAAGACTATGTGCTTGCCCAGAAGTCACCGGTTCGAATCTAGGTAGGTGCGGGCGGCGACGTCGCGGTATACGTAGCCCACCAGTGACTAGTTGTCGCGCGTGACAACGAAGTGTTGGTACGGTGTGCCGGCTACAGCTGAGGATTTGTTTCTTTTCCCCACCAGAACACATTGAAGTCAGTTAGTGTGCCATCTCTATGCGCCTGGATTTAGGCGTTGGCACCAAGTCAGTCACATGATTGCCCACGTAAATTTATAAGGATCCAAAACCCCGCATACATAGGAAATAATGGTGTTACGACAAAAACAAAAACGCCATAAGTTGAACGATCTGTTTGGGGACGGGTGGCGAGGTAATAAAAAGCTGTTGTCATTTACGTGACACGGAGAAAGGTGAAGGTACGTCGTGCAACCTGAACGGCACCAACATAGGGCAACACAAAGTTCAGTTCAGTTAACCCTACCAGACGACAAACGATTTGTTGGTAATTTCCGAATCTGCCGCTATACCGTTGTACCTCACTTTCGGTAGTTTGCTCAGGAACTATTTTCTACAATGTCTCCTAGTTCCAGCTTATTTTAACCACTTGTTTGTACGTAACCAACTTTTTTCAATATCATGTTGATTTTTTGCTATTTAACACTCAGGAGCTCAGGTATATGAGACAGTTAGGTTCAGGGCCTCAGGTCTGCTAGGATCCGAGCACCGAACTACGGTGGATTCCGTTGCCACGACTCATATCGCCAGAACAACAATAATAATAGTAAGAAAATGAGGTGGGATACAAATAGAATGTGAAGAAAATGGAATCACGAAGGGTAAATTAAACTAATCACGATGAAATGAAAATTAACCGCTATATGCAATAAACCGAATGTAGGAACGACACTGAGTGCGCCATATCTGATAGAGGCCAATACAAAAGGAGTTTTGAATCGACGCAAAGCATCTCACCTCAATCAATTTTATGAGGAAAGCTAGAGGAGTGAGAACGGAATAGATACCTCAATGAGATTGACTGAGAAACTGCAGGAATAAGAATGATAACAACTGACCGCTTGAACCGGCTGATCAACATCTCAGGAGAAGCATGTACGTATCGAGTACGATCGTTCACATATTGTAAGCGTAATACCAAATGACCTTTAACGCGGAAACGAGAGGCGTACTCCCTTTGTTCATCAGGCGTGCCATTTTTCAGTCGTGCCAAGGAAGACTTTCGTGTGTTTGCTTCATCATTCCCTGAATTTGAGATGGTGTCTGAAAAAGATACCGTAAACAGATTATGGTCATGAGATCCGCGACACTTAGATTCAGATGAGAAAATGAAAAATTGCCGTCTTCTTGAGAAGTAAATGACTTAAAGGGGTATCTAGGTACATAAGCGCTGGTTAGTGTGAAAAGTTTACGCAATTAATCTAAACAAGATGAGAACGGGCACAAACGTCTCTGCAAACTTGATGGAATCGAAATCAATAAACTATACTGCCTTTCAATGACGACGCAATCCAACAAGGGTAAGCAGAGCGGATAGTGAACGAATTTACTCAAAGTGACCAATGTGGATCTAGATAAAGTGGCGGGAGTTCGATTAAGGCTGTGCTCCTGCCCTGAGCGGTGCAAAACTGTGTTTTCCATTAATCACGCTGCCCTACTGCGTTCGCCCTCCACGATAAAAGCAACAATGGTAAGAGTGGCTTGGGTGAACAGAAAGTAAAGTAGAAATGCAAGCAATGTATAGAAAGAAACGAAAATAAATATTAGGTTGTGAAGTTAGACGGCTATGGAAGGGGAAGCTAAAATGCAGACAATGGCTTGACGGCTCAAGGTACGCTACAAGAACGAGAGAGGAAACGGAAACAAAGTCGAAAGCCCTATTAGTTAGCACAATCAGTTAGGAGACAACGGCACGACAAGGAAGGCGGGCGCCGTGGACACAAATGTTGGGGGACATAGACCACAATCAGCACGTCATAGATCATCACCATAGAAAGGCAGAGGAAAAGAGAATTAAGAATAGCATTATGCAAGCATCGGTCGGCTTCGTTGATTAAATAAGCCATGAAGAATACCTCCACCTGATGGAATGGAAAAAAGCTAGATGCAAGAAACCGAATGCAGGAAGGCTAATGACTACGCGACTGTGCCGTTTCACAGTCTCCAACCACTAAGGTTGACCATCCCGGGGCCGCCATCCACGAAGACGACACGCACCAGCAGGAATAAGTATCTCAGTCGATTTATTCATGCCGCTATGCCACGTCATGCCACATCACCTCGAGGTTGCGCCCAACTTGGTGCAGCCATGGTGTGTAATGCACGCAGAGTAAGCTAGTAAACAAGCATACGGAGGACATGACCTAGCCAATGTGAGTGATTAAGGTTCAGCAAACACTCGAGGGAGGCACTAGAAGGCTTCCTGCCAAAAACCAACTGGTGAACCTCAGAAATGATCACCCGGTGTTTCAACCAGACGTGAGCAATATTCCGTAAGCACCGGCGCACAAACACGCGAACTGGCCAGGTCTCGGATCCCTACGGTAACACAGGCCTTATCGCAGCGTTATACAGCCTACCATTCACTGAGAGAATGATATCCCGCCGTCTCCATAGGTGGTCGAGCTTCTGGAAAGCCACACGGGCATTACTAAGACGCAAAACAAATTCCTCAGTGATGTAACTACCGAAGGCGACAGCTAGCAAGGTAAGTGAACCGATCCACCAATTCTAGTGACTGTTTGCTGATAGCTAAAACCGGTTGCGTATCCGTCCAGTTCCGAAACAATGCTTTTCACTTTGTAGATGCAAAGCACATGCCGAAGCGTGCAGCGCTACGCATCAGCCTATGCAATAGTGCTTGCATAGCCACTTCGTCAGACTCAAGGAGAGTTGTGTAATCCGCATACTATAGGTTTGTCTGTCGGTCACCTGGTAAGACTTCCACTCTGGTAGAGTGAAAGAATCGAGTCATTCATGATCATTTCGATCGCAAGTCGAAGAGGAAAGGATATATAAGACAACCCTGTCGAACCCCACTTGCTATGCAGAACTCGAGATAGTTACTCGTAGACCCTTACACGGCCTCGGACGTCACGGTAGAGACTACAGCATATAAAGAAGTTTAGCTGGCACGTCCTTCAGGGATAGACAGTGCCACAAGCTGGCGAGATGAACAGTCGAATGCGACTTTCGGTTCAAGGAAAGTCACTATAATTGGTTGTGTGTAAATGTTTAGCGGTTGTGCTAACACCAGATGTTATCTTTCTTTTTTCACTCCCGTTATCGACAATTTTGTACCATTTCTGCAATCCACAAATTTTGATTACACACCTTCGACACGCTAGCGTCGTGCTGGTTTGGTTCGCTGCTGCCTGTGCTTGTGTTGTCGTCACGTCTTTCAAGCAGTCGGATACATAGCTACACTTCACCTGTCGGCATCGGATTAACGGTAGCTGAGGAAAGAACTATAACGAAAGTGTGCCTGATTGTTCTTCTATTGTGAGTTGTACCTAAGAGTATCTTTTGCCTCCGGACTCGAACATTTTAGGTAACGATCCACTAGAAGTGTGTATCTGCTCTATCACCGCCGTATAATAAAGTGGCTAGAGAATAACGAGAATCTAGTGAATCTGTACCGAGCATTTCGATGAAAGGAGTCCGCGAGTGTTCGTCTGGTTCCCATTCCTCTCAGTCTTATTGTAAGGTTCATTAAAGAAAAATCCCTCTGTAAAGTCGCAGCATGCAGGCAGTGAGATTCAGTTAAGGGAAAACTGGTTGATATGAACCAAATAAACGATATTTGTTTGCTGTTCGATAATTGCGTAGTGGGCATCCAACCCTGGATGCTTTTTAGTTTGGTCCTACTATTGGCATTCATATCGCAAGTTCGACGCATAAGTTACTTTGATGTGATCACCTATGCTTGCTGTTCACACCACGATGACGAAGGAATAGTTATGCATCTAATCTAGCGTTGCGTTAGCAGCGACGGATACTTGACTGCAGGAATGAGCGCACATATCGCTAGAGAAGCAAAAGGGCCGAAAAGAAACGGCGTCACATGGTATAGATTTAGTAGCTTAGAGGTTAGTGAAGATTGGATGTTTTCCAACTGACTGCTTACAGTCACAGCCAACACAGCTGTCAGAAAAAGCCGTAAACATTTAGTGCATATACTACAAGAGCCTGTCCTAGAAAAAAACGAAGCGAAAAACATACCTGTATTCGTGCAATCATCTGGCAGTTCATCCGAACTAGAATCATCCGGTTGGAGGTTGTTTTCGGCCTCAGCGCTTGCGACCTGTGAGGCGTCGTTATCGTCACAGGGGGGGCGCGTAAGTTGATTCTGTGAAGAGGTTTCGTGGCTAATACCCCTATTTGACTGAGGAACTAAAGTGATGCGTAGCGAGAGTACGTCACGATTGACTCTCGTGGATAACCAAGCAAGAATGACAAAAATGCACAAGCCCACAAGGCCGACAACAAAAAGAAGTTCATTGCCAATGCCTTCAATAATGGTTTCCTCTGGGATGAGTCTACCGATCCAACCAAGCATCACCAGCCTGTAATATAAACGTGACGATTCAATGACGTACGTAAATACAAAACGTCTTTACTATTAAAGGTAGAAAAAAGAAATGGCTGAATGCAGTAGAGGTTTGTCGTTTGCATCACATCCCATTGCAGCAGCGCAGCCGTATAGACGAATTTCAGATGTATGTGTGTATGTATCTCAAAAGTCTATTACCTAGACACAGAGCCAACATAAAACCATGGAGATCAGCAGAGAAGCAAGATTCATCGCGGCATACTCATCGTCGCATGCTAGTGGAAGGTGAGCAACACACTTCAACTAATATGCCGCAGGAAGAATGGAACATTTTGACAAAAAGTAGAACAAAACATTTTTAGTTTGTTTGTCACACGCCGCTTTTGCTCTTTTCTGTCATTTTAATGTTTGTAGTATTAAAGATGTGAATCAATACAATACTGTACACAATTCTTCCACTGATTCCGGTTGCGGGCCATGTCTTCAAGAGTGCTAAGCCATTGGCACTCCTCATTTTTAGGTCCCCATCCTGGAAGACGTACCGATCCAACAGCGGCTAGACACGACGTCAGCGATTTCATGTGTTGCCGCCAAGTGGAAGGCTGACCACCACGCGGTCGCTTCCAGTTAGGTCCTTAACGAGCGAATAGAGCGCGACGCGGTAGACGCTCAGGTGCCATGCGTGCCATCTCAACTGGCGCAACAAAACCAGTTTGTTGAAGGGGATACTCGCATTCCCCAAGATGTGACGTCGAACGTCATTACTAGTAACTCGATGTTGCCACCAAACACGAGCGATCCTCTTTAACCAACCGTTATCGAACGCAGAAAGACGACGCATGTCTTCCACGCGAATCGGTCAGGACTCGCGCCCCTACAACAGTACTGAGCGAACTGATGCGCTGTAAACGCGGCCCTTTAGTGAGAATGAGACGTCGCGACGACGCCACAAGTGCCTCAGATTGACAAATGCTGATCGAGCTTTAATGATACGAAGAGAAACTTTTTTGTTCATAGTGCCGTCAGCAGAAACACATCTCCCAAGGTAGACGAAACTATCTACCTGTTCAAGTTGTGCACCTTCGAGAGTGATTACGGGAGCAGGTGAAAGCCAATCCTTGAGCAGTACTTTACACTTCGATGGGGCGAAGCTCATGCCATACTTAGATGCTTCAACCGCCAAACGATCCAGAATGAGTTGCATACTCTGAGGTTCGTCACCAAGTAAGGCGATATCATCAGCATAATCTAAGTGGGTCGCGCGCTCATCCGGTAGAAACTCTAAGCCAAAATGTTAGAAACCTACTAAAGCATTCGACAGAACGTCTTCGACTGCGAAGTTGTAGATGAATGGGGACAGGGCAGCCCTGTCACACACCGCTATTGACAGCGAATTGCGAGGAAAGCTTGCCATAGACCCTCACTTTGCCAGATGTTTGAAGGTAAAGTGCTTGTAAGATGGCGGTATATTTCTCTGGCACCCCGTTCTTTAGTAAGTAACGCCATGAAGCAGGTCGATCAACGGAGTCAAAAGCGGCACGTATGTCTAGGAATGCAACGATAGTGGGCCTGTGATAAATGTGGCGATGTTCGAGGAGTTGGCGGAGCGTGAAGATTTGATCCACGCATCCGCGACCAGGACGGAAACCAGCTTGTTCTTCACGGTAGTATGATTCACGTACTGGGGATAGCCTGCGAAGCAGAATGGATGCCAACAGCTTAGAGGCAACCGAAATAAGACTAATCCCGCGATGATTTGCACATGAAGTGCGAGCGCCTTTCTTGAAAATCGGGACAATAACTGATTCGCCCAAGAGGAAGGCACTTCCTCTTCATGCCAAATTTTTGCGAACAGCGCGGTCAGCTGGTTAATGATCGCCACACTGCCGTACTTGAATAGTTCCGGAGGTAGTCCGTCTAAGCCGGCAGCCTGAAAGCGCTTCAAGCGTCGAATCTCGAGGCAGACTTCCGCTTCGCTGGGTGGATTCAGAGGGACGAGCCAGGGTGGACAACAAGGTGTACTGCATGTACTGCTGGATGGTGGAGGCCAATTGAACTGCGTGTGAAAGTGCTCGGCCCAGCGGTCCATACGCCTCTGTTGGTTGGTGATCGGAGACTCATCCACCTCAAAAATGGCCTCACTGAGGCCAGTGGACCGAATGAGTTGGAAAAGCCTGCGAGTGTTGCCAGAGAGGGCAGCAGTCTCCATCTCTAAAGCACGCTCAGACCACCATGTCTCGCGATCCTTGCGTAGGCATTGCTTGAGCAGCCGGTTGGCAGAACTGCGTTGCTCGTTGCAATCTGATTCAGCGGGGATATCTTTGAAGCGTTCGAACAGCTCCAGAGAACGAGCAGAAATCCAAGCCTTCAAGGGGCGTCGAGTTACGCCGCAGCATGACTGTCCGGAAATGGTCATTGCCTTCCGTATACAAGTCCAGTGTTGTTCCACTTCTTGCGGTGGACTGCAACTGAGTGCATATGCCAGTGAAGACTGATAGCTCGCCTGGACAGATGAATCAGTTAATCTGTTTATGTCAATCTTGCGGTGCATCGTGTTTCGGGATCCTCCAAAACACATACAGATTTTCGCGCAGACTAGCGCTTGATCTGAGTCAACGAAGATGGACCAAAAGGACCTGCAGTCCAGTACGCTGCCGCGCCATCTGAAGCTAATCGCAATGTGACCAATTTGAGACCACGGTTGTGTTGAAGAAGGGGGACGCCACGTTGCGGAACGCTTCTTCGTACGCCTGAAGTTAGTGCTCGAAAGAAACAGACGGTTGTCTTCGCACAATGTGAGAAGTCTCTCTCCGTTATCAGAGCGGTTCTCATCGAGCGAGTGATGACCACCAAGGTGGCGTTCGTATGGTAACAGGCGGCCAACTCGTGCATTAAAATCCCCAGCAAGGATAACGACATCAGACTTTTTAGCATTAGTCAAGAGCTGTTGTAGATCCCGGTAAAATTCGTCCTTGACCGAGTCGCCACTGCAGTCAGTTGGGGCGTACACGGAGATCACAAACAAGTTGTGTCTCTCTTCGCGGTGCCTGTTGATTCTACATGAACCCCGAAGCCGAACTGCACATAGTCGGCTGTTAATAGGGAACCAGTCCAGTAGTGCCGCCTCGGCCTTGTCACTTAGTGCTATACCTACATCATCCAGACCCGCCGAAGCTGTCGCTGGATCTCTAGAAAGACGCAGGTGATATCTGGCTTCGTGGTCAGTGGGGGATGTCAATGTAAGCATAGTGCTGGGATCTTGCAATCGGATTTCTGAAAGGCAGCAGACACCAATGTCTAGGGAATCTAAGGTGCGCGCTAGACCGGCTTGCTGTCCAATCTGCATGAGTGTCCGAACGTTGAAGCACGCCAGGCGGAACAAGGATCGGGGACGAAGGAGAGAAATAGGTTGAACTCCTTGGTCTGCGGCGCAACCGGAATCGCAGCCAGATTGTTGAACACATGAATCGGGTAACGGAAAGTGAGGATTGTTAACAAACAAACAATTAGCGTGTGATGAAGTCGCGTGAAAGTGACTAGCAGAAACAGCAGCTGATGAGCAAGTTGTAATACAGTCCATGGTTTTGCGAGAGCGTGATACTACCCGGTTGCCTAAGCCGAAGTAGGCAGTTGACTTAGGATACTCCACCCCGAGCCTTTGGCTAAATAACCTACCCGCAAGGCAGCGGGGAGAATTTAGGGAATCGCTCCCATTGGGAGGCGTTGACTGAATGTTCAGTTCATGCGTCTTTGTTTGGTAGATTACCAAACAGGGGCCCAATACCGCCCATGAAGTCAGCACACTTGCTGGAATACAATGTCCCACCGAGGTGGAACATTGTCGCCGAACGCTTTGCTGGAACGGGGTACACCCGAACCACCCAGTTGGCTCCACGAGGAGGTAGTTCGGCAAGCCAACCGAATTTCAGAAAACAAAAAGTTTAACCGTCTCATATTTGTAAGCGCCACAAGCCAGTCAACAGCATCATTATACACGTCAGCTACAGGTGAAAAACACCTGCGGTGGCATCCGGTTTCGGATTTTCCTGCCACTGTGGCCTCCACAGAACACGCACAGGACGCCTGCACCTAAAGAGGGACCATGGGTGGCTTGCGCTGCACCACCCACAGATCCAACCACACATCCCATATCTAGTGTAAACCGAAAGAATAAGACTAGGAGGCATGTGGATGGGAGCCACGTTTCATCAACGGAGCCGGCACACACTCCTTCACAGGCAAAACACAAGCATGCTGCATTAGGGGAATCAATAGTACGCAGAGCGGTGGTTAGGCCGTAGCCCGATGCACACACAAACCATGTGCAAAGAACCACTGTTTGAGCCTAACACGGTCAAGACGACCGTGCACACGGTCCCTTCCAGCAAAGATCAACTGTCTCATGGAGCCTGTGTAGACGTAGTGGGTATTAGACAGGTAGGCATCTTGTCGACATTCATATCAAGCACAGCCATACCGGGGATGTCAAACAGCCAATCATTTGAAATGAAATTTTCAAATAAAATATACCTGTTAAAGCATTTGGCTATGCCGACATAACTTTTCGCTAAATTAGCATATGAAGTTAATGGGTTAGCAAGGAACGCCATTCGTACAAAGTGTGCGAAAGTTATGTAAAAAAAATGCCACGTGATATTTACGCAAGTTTACCACAATTAGCATGAACGACGTGTGCAAATCAGTAGAAGATTATCAAGTACGCAGAACAAACCAAAGATAGAATGAATTTCAAATTGCACATTTCGACTAGACTAAAGGTGGTTAACCTCGCTTATTTTCAGCTTCTTGCATGTGTCTTGATCCCTTTTACTGTCATCTTGAATCTACCACGGCTATTTTAATAATCGCTTCATTCCATATGTTAATTTAGCGGCATATCCATACTGTGTATTCGATCTATTTTGTTCGAGATTTCATTTCATGTTATTGGCTGTTGCTTGACATTCCCGGTGTGTCTGCAATTGATGTACATGTTGACGAGGTGCCTACCTGT